ATTTTCACTCCATTTGTGCTGCACGAAATTTTTATCCGGTTCGGGCCGTGAAGAAAAATTCATTTTCAAAWTCATTCATTTTTTCGTGTCTACATGTATCTATTCTTCGTTTTCAAGTAACGTCACAGCGGCCATCTTGGAGGAACTTCAACAAAAGATTTCTCATTAGTTTTTTTGTTCATTCCCCCAACATGGCCGCCGGTCTTTTCTCATAGGAAGGTTGAAAACGAGCAATGCTCAGATATTTCACTGATTACTGCGTATAATCACTAAAAACATTTGCGGATACAAAACCTTCCTGCTACATATGTATAAAGCCTACATTAGACGAATCATCATCATCATCATCATCATATCAGATGTGTCTATGCTCATTGTGATTATTTCTGCAACTACGAACAACTTACGTTCCACGCTGTCTACAACACAATAATAGTGTAACAGTGAGCGCCACGAGAAGTGTCATGACAACTGGGATGAGTATCTTAGGAAGAACTGAAAAAAACAATAAACACATAAGTTTTGACATAATGCATTTTACCGGTGTAAACATTATACAACATCAAAGATTCTGGTCACAATTTTGGGGCAAATTTGAGAAAATACCATAACGACCAAATTTTTCTTGACATTTTGTCGACCATTTTTGCTKCATTCGATATTATGAATATACCATAGTTTGAGTAGCCAATTAGAATGMTGGATCTGTGATAGCCATAGTTTGATGGATACTTAATGTTAATAGTTGATATCTATATGAGTAACAACAGTAAACAGTAGAGGGGTAAAGTTATTAGAGCGGATTTCGTATGATTGGGAAACGAACGCGTACTGTACTGTAACCGTTATCGTACTGTAACCAAATTCTAGTGCTCCATTGGTTCACCAAAATTGTGCAGGCCAGGTCCGGTAACTGTGCGGTAACCGTGCGGTAACGGTGTCCCAGTCATACGAAATCCGCTCTAAACCCGTGAAACAATACTTGACTATTAAAGTGTGATATTCAAATAGACACAAAAGAAAACAATCAAATTAGAGCGTACTAAGGTGTATTAATGCAATAAATATATATAGAAATTACATGTGCGCGCAGAAATACGGATTTTATCTTCGAGTGTTGAAAAGAACTCTCCAAGTGAGCGTAATATAGTGTAGACAATATAAAGAAAACCAACAGAAATTCGCATTGTTCAGTACAATTTAGCATTGTTTTTTTTTCAGTAATTAAGATTACTTAAGTGCATTCATTCTTAATATTTAGTGACGAACATAGACAAGTTAAATTGAAATGAGATAAAACCGTTTTTGTACTTTATACTTAGATTGTTTTAAGTATGCGACTCAAAATTTCAGTTGGACAAAATATATATTTATTGACCCTTGAAAACCTCGACATACCGTTATCTGGTGTATCGTTTTGACCAAGGACACTGGGGCTTCCACAAGACACAGCTATCGATTCGTCTGCGCAYCTAGTACCATGAAAATAATCATTAACGAGCTGTTGGGAGGCCCAAGAAAAGGATGAAAAAAGAATGGAAAAAGGGAAAGAAAGGAAAAAAGAAAAGCKTACTTATGCAAGAAACAAAAAGAGGAGAAAAGGGGAAACATTATTGAGGGAACTAAGTAGGTAATGATGGAGTAAGGTAAAGAAAGGGAGGCTAGCAGAAAAAAAAAGAGAATTACAAAGAGAAACTTGCATTAAAGAACACTAGAAACAGATGAAAAGTTAAAGGCCCACATGCATTAAAAAGCTTTGCGATCGTTTGCTTTGTTTGTAAAAATGATCCGTTGTTGAAAAATGTTTCTGATTGGTTCTAAATCAAAGATGGCGATTTTGCGTATGTGAGGAAATCGCGCAAAGGATCTTGGATGCACGGGAGGCTTTAATAATAAATAAAAAGAAGGTGAGTATGCTCAATGGAAAGTGTAGTCCTGAYAACACATCTATGCATAAAGGAGCGCTATTTCACTCAGTTTTACCTGCAGTATGGCTTATTAGAAGACCCATTAACATAACACTGTCCATTTTGTCCGCATTTGGTGAAGTTGACACAAGGATCATGGTCACATCCTGGACCGGTTGTGTACCGATAGCCGGACTTACATCTACATGATATAATATCAAGAATTACATGTACTATTGTCATTATTATGAAAAAAATATGACTGATCTTTGTAAATTCATCTGCCACAGAAATGCAACCAGTAGTCGTTCTGGATAGTCAATTAGCTGATAAATTAAGACAATTCTTAATGTAGTCGAGTCTCGCCTTTGGCACATCGAATTATTACGACTCTCTGTTACAAAGAAATAACTTTAAAATGTCCTAGAAAGTTGCAATTGCGCGCGAGAAATTTATTACGCTAGTCCTTAAGGAGTCCTTTATAAAGAGTTGACTCTGGTCAAACATTGTCATATATGAACGAAAATAACTAACTTTTGCTTTGATTTTATACAATTATTGTTCATAAATGTGACACGACAGCTAGAGGAAGGTTTCATATATTAGCTAATTTCTCTGTGCTTGAATACACTGATCAAACGAGAAATCAACCAAATCCCCAAAAACATGCAACAAACCTGCAATAAATGGTGTTGTCTGAAGTCTCACAACGTCCACCCTTACCACACTGAAAGGTGGAGCAGGATTCCTCACAGCTTATCCCAGCCGTTCCCTGTGGACACCTGCAGGATAAACATCAKACAATAACTGCCTATCGCATAATTACATCACAGCAGGTTAAGATTGGGAATAAACGCACAGAAACAGTGAATTTGGACCTATGAATATTTCCTCTGCTATGAGGGTCGTTATGATGACAAACCACGGAATTTGAGGATAGTAATTTATCGTTGAAATATCAAATTTTAAAAACAGTAAATGGCTAGACTATATGTCGTTATGTTTTTTCCCTTTTATTTCTAAGAATTCAATATCTAAACAGGTGTCAGTTTTCATGGTCTTTTCTTCCGCTATCTATCGGAAGAAGTTTAATTCGATGGTTGTAGGCCAACTGAACTCAATCGGCCTAGAAATATTTCAGCGTAACTAACTCACCGGCAGTGCGGCCGTCCATCCTTAACACTGCAGATTCCACCRTTATAACATGATAAAGTAAGACAAGGATGAGATCTTGGCGACGGCGACGGGCTGGATAAAGGTGTAGTGCAGTATGGACCTGTAAATCCTGAAGGACATCTGGAAAAAAACAATGAAATTATTAAACCATTTTACTAGTAACAATACTTCCGCCATCTTGATATGACAATGTGCAACTGCGACATTGTTTATGAGAAAAGGAATTCGTATTTACCGCATAGACAGAAATTTTTGTGTTTGTTTTCAAAGAAAACACAAGAGTGGGCAAAATGTGCCAGTTGTGGGAATATTCAACCGGGCACATAGACATTAAAAGAAAAAGTAATACAAAAAATGATACTTTTAAATACTTACATGCAAATGGCCTTGCCATCGGCCTCAAGGCAAGTTCCCTTTCCACAAGCAACAAGAGAGCAAGCTGGAGGGGAAAGTGGCTTTACAACACCTAAAACGATAAACAACGACTTCAATTAGGAGTTAGGAAACCATGATAAGGATACTAAGTATAAGCAACATTCATGGACAAGGAAGGCTTAAATTAACACTGATAGAATTTGTCGATTTGAAGTTGGGGACCGATGATTGGGTTACAGGATACTGGCAAGTGAAGCATAGGGAAAACAGGTTTACAGACAAGGATTGTCTAATAGACCCCTTGCATGTGACGTCAAAGCAGCTTCATCTGGAGGACAAAACAAAAGATTTTTATCCTCTTGGGAACTAGAATCTATTGTTTTGTCTTCCAGTTGGAGCTGCATTCCCATGAAGTGCAAGGGGTCTATTGAGGGGGAACTTGTTGCAGACATCAAAGGGAGAGGGCGAAATTGATAGAGATGGGAGAAATCTTATTAAGAGCTCTTGAAAATTTCATTTCATACCTGAGGAGCATGGTTCAGTGCTATTAACGTCACCATCAGGACATGCGCAAACGTATCCAGTAGACGTAGTCAGACATAGGTACGTGCAGTTACCGTTATTCTTGGCACATGTAGCTCCTTCGTAAACAAATCGAAAGTGTCTATTGTATCATTTATCAATTTATCAAATTAATACATATACTCAAATAAAGAATCGTTGTGGTTGACGGGTTGGGGTTTACGAAGTCATTTTTGGATTAAAATTACTTTTTGAGAAATTCTAGCTCCCTTGCTAAAAAAGCACTTTTTCCAAAATTTTGCGTTATAATCCAGAAATACCTGGTGAAGTCATTTGATGTTCTTTCTGTTGTACCCTCAAACTAGAAACCCTTTGAAGACCATCAAGTAGAGTGACACTTTTATTGTATCCAAACTTGTCTACTTGTAGAATTTGATTGTTTGTTGTGATGTACAAATAGTATCCCGACACACTTATAGAAGATGGCTTGTGGATGCCATTAAAAACCATTGCTCTTCCATGTCCATCCACCCCTATTCTCTCTACTCGTCCTGCTTTATAATCTAACCAGTACAGTTGTCGAGTAGTTTGATCAAGACAAAGACCTGACGGCCATATTAGTTTAGTTGTGACAAGAGGCGTCCGGTTGGTGCCATCCATATTCGATGATTCAATCTTTGGTTCGGGCCCTCGATCAGCCCAAAACAGCAGTCTAAAGTAGAAATATAAGAATTGTAGCTTACATATTCTTCAGGATTGATGCAGAACCCCCACAGAGCAAGATCATCGTTGGACCATTGCTCGCTTAAGTTATTCACGCTTTTAGAGTTCGCGTAAGAACAAATCTTTTATTATTCACGCTCTTCGACTAATCAAAGTTGTCGTAAAAACGAGTCCTTATTTTTCATGCTCTTTGACCAATCAAAGTACGTTCTCCGACTAAAAAAGGAAACAATTTTATTCACGCTTTTCGACCAATCAAAGCTCGCGTAAGAATACATGCTATAAACTTTAACATGATAATTTAAATTGATAATTACCCTCGATTAGAGTCCACGATAATGTTCCCAGGATCAGCCAGTCCTGCAGATACAATTGTGCGACGATAACGTCCATCAGTTCTAGCGACTTTAATCGCACGTTGAATAGAGTCTGTCCAAAATATATTACGTCCAATCCAGTCTACGGCAATCCCATTAGCTACGCCCAACGACAAAGACAAATCTTGTATGGTCGGTGAGGTTGAACGGCGAGCTCGATGTCGTGCACCTTCTGTTGATGTGAAATATTTATTATCGTTATAAAACATTTGTATATGGAGAACAGAACTAGTTTCCAACATTGAGTAATTCATTCGAGAGTAGTTGGTTTTGATTGACGGGAGCAAAGACACCAAAT